CCTGACCTTTGCTGTTGTCGGTATTGTTCTGTTAAAATGTAATCTAACTCTTTTTCTTTAGTCTGGAAATAGCACTGTAAAGACAGCAGACATGATAGGGGTTTGGGTCCCCCACCCCGCCCCAACCTAGAGGTGAGAGGCAAAAACATCCATCATCAGAGCTGGCTTAAAACCAGATGATGTCAAGAAGTGTATAATATACAGCGGCCCAGACCTTCTGTTGAAGGGGACCTGTTGAATTGCACTGATTTCATACTTCACATGGGAGCTAAGCCCACTGGCATCTGCAGAGGGTCCAGCTGGTTTCCGAGCACTTACTTGTGAAGATATATACCTGCTTGGTAAGGCAAATAACCAGAAAGGCCTTATTCTGGTGCTCTCACGCCAGTGCTGAAGAGCACCCTGCTCAATATTTTAGCCACAGGTCTGAGTCGACTCCCTGGATTCACAGTATCATTGGGATGTTGGTATCTCTTTGGTACTATGAAGTTACAACATTTCCAGGACAGAGACCTTTAGCTAAGGCCTTGCATGTTTTCCACATAATCCTAGAAAACCAAATAGATCCAAGACTTACATTAAAAAAGTGAATTGTTTTCAAACAGCGACTACCAAAATGGAAGACAACTGATTTTCCTTGTGACAGCGGGCATTAGTAGTCAGCCACATGCTTTAGAGTCATAGCTGGATTATCTGTCACTGGATCTTTGTGAGCCTGGTCTGAGTCATATTATGGCCCTGTAATGCAAGACCTTTTGCAAAAGCAAACTCACATCATTATTACCTGTTGTGTTGCTATTATTATATCTTTGTGTTACGACTGTACATGGGTATTACACTGCATTAGCGATGCAGATGCACACATCTGCACTCACACCCATACACTTGCAGAGGATTATGGCTAAAATTCCTGATCCTACTTATAAAAAGCCCTATAAATCCTGGATAACTCCCTTCAAACCAGCAGCAATATCCTACTGTAAATCTGGAGTGTAAAACAGAGCAGACTCTAGCTCAGATGCTCTTCAGCCACACACCGTAATGCAGCAGGGAGGCTAAAAGCAAATACTAGGCTACGTACACACCAGTTCCCCGCCAAAACCCATCCTTATTGCATCATGTCCTCCTCAGCCCCACAGCTCACCACTTCCCAAAGCACCAGCCCAACTCTTCTCGTTGACAAGCTCTCTGAAACAGATTAAGAGCCAGCTTTGGCAGCACTGCCACGTGCTCAAATATTGCTCACAGCCGAGTTATTTCTTGCTTCTTAGGAACTTTAAATGCCTTTTATGCTTAGTGAACTCATGAAAGGCTAGTATTTAAAGTCAGCAGCACTGAAATGATGAATTAGCCAAAGGAGAAACAGGCCAGTTAGGCATTTCTTACAATACATTATCTAGATGGTTGCCAGAAGAGCTGATTTAAAGTCACTGTGCTACACCTGAATGTCGTTTATGGCTCATAAAAGGAAATCGGTGTTTAAGTAACAATAAAGCAGGCCTGCACTTTCTACATTAAAAAAAAAAAAATTCCTTTCTCACAAAGCAGATGTATATTTATTTGCTCAGTGCCTGCCTCTGAGGCACGTGGAGTCTGACAGCACTGGGATGCTTTCAGCCATAAAGCCCAAGAGTTAGGCAGGAGGACTTGCTCCAGCACTGATTATGTTTGATTTTTGCTCATTTTTCCACTGAAGCCTTAACATACTGAATTTGACCCCCTTGCAAAGGCCAGACCCGAACCCCCATGTACACCTGTAGCTGTCAGAGAAACACAGGAGATCACTGGGCATAGGCAGCCAGCCCAAAGTCTGCTCCAAAGCCACAGCCCTGCAGTGGGAAGAAGTAGGGACCCTTCACAACACTCCCAGCTCCAGGGTCGGGACTTTTGGCCAAACAAGGTGACAGCAGCCATCACATCAATCACTTAAGTCACAGTCACATCCACCCAAGGATGCGTATTTTTATTCACCTGTTATCCACTGATAAATTCCCTCATGTCAGATTCCAGGGGGTCCAAACCCACTTTTTTGGTCTCAGTGAAAATACCAGCTGGGGTATTCTGTCACACACAGCCATGAGGAAAGCCACCAGAACATATACATATGTTTTTCCCTATTACACCTTTGCCAAAGTTTGATTTTTGATAATTTTCTGCACAAAACCAAGTCCTAATAAGAAACATGCAACAACAGACAAACTCTATCCTTCTGTCCCCCTACACCATTCTGCCCTCCACCGATTTCCCATCATCTACCCACTACCACCCTTCTCACAAAGCCACAGCCATCTCAGGGCCACCTACTTCCACACAAGTAGCGCCAGTCCCGAGAGAGGACCTTGTGCACCCTTCCCAAGCCCTAGTGCTGCTGGCAAGGGGGGTGTGCTGCCTCCCAGCTCCACTTGTCCTTTCAGGGGCCAAGGAGACAAGGTGGGTGCTCAGCCCCAGGTCTTCCTATCCAAGGGGCTGGAAAGGACCCACACATGCGATGCTACAGATGTTGACAGAGAAGGTCACAGTCCTGAACTTTACCTGCTCTCTCAGTCTGACCCTGCTTTTGGAAAAGTCATCATCCCACCATGACTCACCTCTCGAAGGAAGAGGCCTGGAGACTTTATTGGTCTGGTCTACACAATAGGTCTGCAGGACCTCCCCGACACTTGGCACCACCTGGGATATCTCCACGGCTCATGCCACACTGAGTACCAACTGCAGAGAGAGGAAAAAAATATTTGTGAGCTTCTGCCAACTCAAACCCCCAGACCAGCCACAGAATCTCATGAAAACAACTGCCCAAGGTGGAACTGGAACTGAAACAGTTATGTTGTGATAAACTGAGCAACACCCTGCAGGCACACAGGAGTGGGATGCCAGAGCCATACCCAGCACGTTTGGTGAGGACATAGCTGCACATATGGATGCTGGGGCATGGGAAGCAATGCCCAATTAAATCAGGAACATTAATTTCTCAGTATTAAACACACCACCTCCAATTTTGGCTATCAGCACAAGGGAACACTTTCCTTGCAGTTCAGCAGTACCTTAAGAAAGTCTTACGGGAAGCTCAAAATACCTCTCATAAGAGGCGTCAGCACAAAAGGCTACACTTGTGTAGGGACGTTGTGACAGTTATGCTGGCAGCCCCTCTCTGCAACCGGCTCCTCCACTTGGGGATGGACCAGGGCTTTTTAAGAAATGTGAAGTACAAGGAGTGGATGGTAGACTTTGCAGTGCTGACAAACACCTATTTTTACAGGCTCACCTTTGAGGAAGCAGTAATGTAACATGTAGAAAGAAACAAAACACAGTTATTACAAAATTGTTTGGCTGTTGGGATCTCAGAGGGATAAGGGCATGCTTTCATCTAATAGGAATTTAAGCGTGGCCTTCAAGCAAACCAGTTAGCACTGCACCAGAGCTGCAAAACACACAAACCAGCAAGTCAGCGATGGCTGTGCGTCGTCATTGATTTAACATTAGTTACCTTGCCCTGAGATGAAGACGACCATGACTCAAGCGCTTCACTGGCTTACAGATCTATTTCGCACATCCCGCAGCGGCTGAATCTTGCCTCACACTTTGGCAATACAGCATTGCAAATTCAATGCAAACCATAACAAAGAGAAAAGGAGATAAAAAGGGATTTAATGCTGTCAGGACTGCTGACCTCCAAATTCCATCACAAGCAAAAACCGCAGAGGACTGAACCTGGATTAGTCCAAATATCCGCTCCATCTGCATACTTCCATTTTTTTCTTCCACGTGTACATCTCTAAGCTGCAAACACAGCCTTTCATCACTCCCAACAGCTTTCACCTTATAAATCCATCAGCTTTACCTTCCCAAACAGCACAGCCTTCTGCACACCCGCTCCTCCCACCGTTTCCCCTCTCTCCATGCACTAATGCCCTCTCACATTCCTCCATTCAATGGTTTCTGCCCACCGTCAACAAACATCAGGAAAACACAGACTGACCTGTTTGCTCCTGTACAAAACAAAGGAGAAAAGGTGGCTTTAGGATTTCTTCCTTTGGGCTTTTTTTTTTTTTTCTGAGGAGGAGGATGGCAAGTCAAACCACTGGTAGGCATAGATTTTTTTTTTTTTTTTCCAGATCTTTATTTTACAAAAATAACTTACAAATAGAGACAACTCTCAGAAGTATGATCATTCATTCTATGCATAAGGATACAGCTTTGTGAAGTAGGGGCGTAGGAGATAACAACTCTTACAATACTGTTAACACGATGGTAACAATATTACACTACATACATTTCATGCTCCAGACGTGTGGGTATGACCACCACATAAAGCTACGGTCAATAAAGCATGTCAGCCAGGGAGGATGCACCTAAGCGATCATTTCCATTCTGCTATTTATTAGCATCCTCTTACCTACAACAGTTGAAACCAAACAGCAACCTAACACTCAGACTACAGCACTCTGGATACACTCATCAGCAATATACTTCAAATACATGATAAAAATATATTTAACTTTCAAATACAATTGTATAAGGTACACCAAGAGCCAGAAAATAAAGTCCGAGCTTTTAAATACAGCACACTATATATATATATATAACATATACAAGGAGACAAGAGGGAATCTACACGTGGAAGAAAAAGCTTATCCTGGAAATGCATGTTATCTATGGTACGCAATGGCTTTGTCTGCTAGAAAGTCATTTCCATTTGCATAGTGTTGTTGAGAACTCCAGACTGGGCTAGGTGGAAATCAAACAAAACACATCAACAAAAGGCTTAATTTTGGTACCACTTCCATTTTGCACCTGATTCTACTCTTAAATTACAGTTTGCTATTTCTCTTTTGTAGGCTGGAATTCATGCCCCATTCATAGCACGCACAAGGAAACAGGGGGTAAAAAGAAAACAACTACAAAACACCCCTCTCAAAAAAACCACCCAAACAACCAAAAAATACAACACACAAAAAAACCAAAGGTCAGAGAGTCAAGGAAGTTTCTGTACGGGGTGGCAGTCATTTGGCATTTTGCTCCAGAGCAGAGTATTCTGCTTCCGACACTCTGGAAGCATCGATAAGTTTAGTGAGACCTGTTTTGGCAGAGTACTTGAAAATAAAGGCTTTCATGAGCTCATATCTGTAGTTGCGGTTAATGAAGCTGTACAGGATGGGGTTGACGCAGCAATGGACTAGAGAGAAACACTGAGTAATGTGAAGAGTGGCATATAAGAAGTTCTCCATCTGACAACTGAAAGGTATGAAATGAAGGCTATAGAAGATGTCAAGCAGGACAGCTACATGGTAGGGTAGCCAGCAGACAAGAAAAACGACAACGTAGGAGAAAATGATCTTTCCGTTGCTCTTCCTTTCTTGGTCACTGGAGGCAGAGATGGTCTTCGCAAGGAGGAAATAAAAGAGAGCAATGATGGGAAAAGGAATAAGAAAGCCCAGCACGACGGAGATGAGCTCCATGCCAATCAACCACTCTTTGAAGCTCTCCTCTGGGTAGACAGGACGGCAATAGGTTTCGTTGTTGGAAGAGACCGTCTTGAGATAATAGGTGTCTGGGAGAGATGCGGAGAACGCAAGAAGCCACACTAAGATGCAGATACAGCGACGGATTATCTTCTTCTTGCGACTGCTGGAATTGGTGAAATAGACAACTGAGAGGTAGCGGTCCACACTCATGCAAGCCAGGAAGAAGATGCTGCTGTACAAGTTGATGGAAAATATAAGGTGAGTTACCTTGCATGTGATTTCTCCCATGTACCACTGGTTATGCTGGATGAGGGAGACGACCCACACCGGAAGGGTGATGACAACACACAGATCAGCAATAGCCAAATTAAAGATGTAGAGGTGGGTCTCATAGCCAGTCATTTTGGCTTGGAGGTTGACCCACACCACAACTGAGTTGGCCACCAGCCCTATGACAAAGATGAAAATGTAGAAGAAGGACAGGATGTATAGCAGGGCGCTTTTGTTGAGCGTGCCAGGGCATGTTGTCGCATCAACCGTGATGCAGTCACTGTTGTTGCACGTCCAGTTGATCTCTGTCAGGTTGGCTGTTTCCAGAAAATCAAGGATGGAAGTCAAATCAAGTGCACTCATGTTCGCTCAGTTTGGAGTTCAAGCTACCTACAGGCAAAACAGGATTAAAAGAAACGACCTACATTAACAGAGATATTTCTGTTGCCATCTTTGTACCACAAAGCATATACAGGACACACTGTTTTAGTATTGTCCAATTCCGGTAAGGCATTTTCCATTAAAGAGATCCGTGGAGTAAAACCACCAAAACAGACACACAGCAAAACTCACATGATCAACAAAAGTGACAGCATTAGCTTTTTGTGTGACTTTTTTTTTCACCTTGCAGCTCACATCTGACATCATCAGGTTGGCTACCATCCCTGGGTGTGAAATCCGCAAAGTATACCGTGGCCAAATAAATGTCAGGCAACTAAATCTGTCTTCTCCAGCATAAATGATGATACTATCGCTTTCAGCAGAGGAATCTTTAAGTCATTCTATCTGCACTCCCTCAAGCATAGTAGAATTGATCTGGCTGATACACGGTACCGTAAAACATTTACCACAAGCTCTGGTCAGCATCTTGTCAAGCCCAGCTCCAGCTGCATTAAGCAGAAATGAGGAACTAAGGGGCTTTGTACCCTCATCCAATTTTAAATCTAAATCCTGCTTCATCCTCCTCCTTTCTCTTGAATTCTATTTTACAAAGCATCCCCTGTATTTAACAATTATCATGTAGCTTTGAGAAAAGGAAAAAAAAAAAAAGTCAGAGCTTGACGACTGAGTAGATCTGCTGAGCCTAAGTTTTCTTTTTAGGAGGGCACTTCGATTTACAAAACACTCCCCCATCACAGCTGGCTCCACAACAACTGCTTCCTCCCCACCCTTTTGCTTTTCTACATTTACTTTTCTTGCCTCTTCAGCACCTTCTTCCATTGGCCAGCAGTGGACAAAGCAAGGGGCTCCTCATTAACTTCCTCACCAGCAGAAGGAAGGGCCCCAGCAGACCCACATGGCTTACACAAAATCCAAAGTTGGGCTGCTAACTACCGTTGTGCTTTTGGGGCGGCATAAAAATGCTGCCTCCCCTGCTGGGACCGTCCCACCCCACAGGGCCAACAGTACCACCCATGGCAGCAGCTGTCTGCCTTGGCCCATGACAGTCACACTTCAGCCAAGCAAGTTTTGGAGCCCTGTGTCCCATCCTACCTCCCACCCAGGACCTGCTACAGGCTGTGGCTTGGGGCACACCAAAATAAAGATGGAGAGGTGATTTTCCAAGGGATGGACCTCATCTCATTCCCCCACAGCTTTGCTTAAGCCAGAGCATCACGTCAGCCTACCCACCCATAGTACCCACCATGGACACTTCTAGCATCCAGAACAGTGAGCACCTTGTTCTCCCCCATGCTCCCAGCCCCAGCAGTGAGAGGTACATCCTGATGCCGCCCCAGCCCTGGAGACAGCGTCAGCATGAGCGAGTGGCCGGACAAAGCATAAGGGGAAACAACTCCTGCAATCACCTATATCTCTGAACATCCTTGACCCCACCACAGGACCCCTCAGTGGGGCTTATGGGAGCACAGAGGGGACAGTGAGCAGGGAATAGCTCAGACATGCTCCCACGCTGACCATCCTCTTCTCGCACCTGCTCCCCAAAAAGGGACATCAGTTGACACAGCACCTCTCACTTCTCCATCTGCATAATTGGCTCTTCCCAAACTTCCCACCCTCCGCACCTCCTAGGGATACAGGTTACGGAAGATAAGGGAGATAAGGGGGGAGATTACTTGGGAGGACTCAAGGCACTATTGTCCCAGTGGAGGGGAAGCTGGTGGCACTAACAATGAGGGGGGGCCGCACACACACCCATGGGAGATCAAATCTCTCCGCAAACAGGGCCCAAATTGGCCCCACAAGGAGATCTAACCTACCGCTTCAAACCTATGCAGCCTTCCAGGCTTTCATCCTGATAGCCCACTGAAAGACAGAGTTGAGATTCAAACCAAATTAAGCATGGATTTTGCTAAAATGCTGGCTAAAGAGGGAGCCAAGACAGTGACAGCTTTCTGTCCTGGGACAGATGATCCCCTGTCTCCAGATCAGGAAAGCAAAGGGCAATTTAACCCACGTCTACGGTGGGCAGAAGGGCTGATCCTGCCCCCCCCCCCCCCGCCCCTCCAGCTGCCTGTACCACCCAGCTGGTGCAGGCAGCAGGGATGCGAGCTGCCCAGGTGCAGCTCCCCAGAGCTGCAAGTGGCAGAGAGGGATGGGTCTCTTGCTAGACCTCATCCAGGGTCCCACCATTACTGCTGCATCACCAGTGCAAACACTTTTCAAGTCTTCTCAAATGCAGGGAGAAGCAGCACCATTTTCCAGCCCCTGTATCTCAAAACCCCACAGCAACTAAAGCAAACTTCCCCAAACCCACAAAACTCCCAGCCCCATGGCAGAGGCCACTATCTCCTGCTGGTATTTGTGCATAGCAAGGAAAGCAGAATAGAAGGAACGCCAGCCTACACCCCTAACACCCCACAGAAGTAGCACAGGTGGGCCTGTGCACCTCCTGGGAAGGCATGTAGTCCAACAAGGGGAGTGGGCTCATTCCACATCTCAAGACACCAACTGAAGCCAACCTCCAGGACACGGCCGTGACGACCCATCGCCAAGTCTCCAGCACATCCCCTAATGTAGAAGAAACTCAGACATGACTGCAGGGTGTCAGATCACCAGTGGCGAAAGAGAAGCAGCAAGGGTGAGCAGGGAGGCAACAACAGCGCAGCAGAAAGGCCTTGAAGCTGGGGCTCACACCAATGCTAGGGATACCATGGCCACCAGCCTAGGACAGCAGGTAGAAGAGGGCATCACCATCCCAGCTGCTCACTCACAACCACCCTGGTGATCTTCTTGAACACAAACGATGCTCAATCCAAATCGCAGCCTGCCTCCAGTCCAAGAGCAGGTCTGCCGCATGCACATGCATCCATCTGTCTGGGGCTGCCCGTATGCCTCTGCGCTTTCGCATCCCCAGCACAGTAATAAAAATCCGAAACTGATACGGCCTCCCAGGCTCAAAGCCCTGTTGGGATATGTTTAGAGATTACAGTTTTACAAGGCCGGGCTCTCTATAGTCTGGGATTAGCTGCTGTAACCTGAGCTCCGGTTCCCACCCAGATTAGCTGGGAGGTGTGAGGGGAACCCACTGGACAAACTCAATAAAGCCACTCTGTGCTCCTTAAAAAACACATTTAGCGCTCTCTGCAGACAGCACAATATCCTAAAAACTTGTGAAGGCAGCTAGAACTGCATTTTGTGTCCACTGCACTGCAAAGCTGTTGCAGGCCATCACCCCTTCACCCAGCAGGCACGTGTGCTGTGGCCAGTTCCTGCTACCTCACAGGAGTTACGGCACGAAGGAAAGGAAACGCACCCGAAATCCTGCTCTAGACACCCAGAGATGTGCCTGGAGCCGATGCAGCCTGCAGGTCTGCACCCTCCTTCATCCCACCTCCTGCCCAGGAACTGCTACAGACTCTGAAAAAGAACCAGACACAAGCATCCCTGTCTAGGAGAGCAGCCTAGCACCACGTGGCAGTGTTCAAGCCCTAGACACTTTTGGGAACTTCTCAGCACCCCTTATTCCACCTAGAGCATCTTGCAGTTTATCCTGCCTGCATTCAGACCTGCCTCCGGGCAGCTCAACGGTGTGGGCAAACTGGGCTTTGTCCCTTCCCAAGTGGAGAAAGAAACGAGCTATGCCAGGAAAAGCCAGGAAAGCTGGTTGGGTTGTCACCTACACACCTTCACCCTTCCCATGTCAAGGGACCAGTATGGGGAGGTGGGCAGCACAGCATCGCAGAGAACACCCATGCCCTCAAGGGGCTTTGCAAGACTGAGCCTGGCACCTTTAAACTCTCTTCTGCAGTTCTGAGTTGGAAAATAAATAAATAAATAAATAAAATTGGGAAAAAAAATGTCCCAGGCAGCAATGGATCACACCTGGGCAGGGAGGGTAAAGGAGCACCCAGAAGCGAGCAGCACTGCGTGCCGGGATGCTGCAGTAGCCCGAAGCAGGTGGCCCCAAAGCCTCAGACCCTCCCAGCACACCACCGAACCTCTGCCACGGTACGAGGAGCCCCCCTCCTCCCCCTAAAACGCGACCCCGAGAGCGACTGGGACGCAG